GGCTTTACAAAAAAAGGTCTTTGATGACAAAACTGGCATAAAGTTTTCATGTCTTACCCCCTATTTATCCTTCCCATGGTTCCACTGTAACACATCATTCTTTCAGTTGTACAGAAAGAAATTTTTGTACATCTGCATTATTTGGATCAGGCTCTTTCTGGACTTCTAAAAGGTACGGAACACAAGGCTCTTATTCTGGTTTTTATTCACTCTTGATTGAAATGCTGTGTTTTGTAACAGTCTTCATTACTGTTCTCTAAGTTTAGCATAATACTATTCTGTAAGTACAGTTAGTCAAGTATTATGCACTTTGAAGATTTTGAACAAAATTTTCTAAACGTATGTATCACTTTAGTCAATGGCATTTTGAGAACATCTGATGTTAGGACTTCTTTGAACCTAACTCTGTGAATTTAAAATAGCACCTTAGTTAACAGGATTAAGTAGATCACAACAGTCAAGCATTTTCATCCTGAGTGCTTTTTACCTCACAGGACGGTATCTTGTTCTGCTTCAGGCAAAGAGTTGTCCTAAACTGTTGCCTCATTTACCAATTGAGTGAGAGATATGAATGCAAAATAAATTGGTTTTAATGTTTGCTTGCAAGACCTAAATGGAAAACGGAAATGTTGGTGCACTTCTAAGCATAGATTCACATGGTATTTGAAAAAGAAGTTGAAGAGAAGAATTACATTATCAACATAACTTTTAACATAACGACCAAAATCTAGAGTTAGTAGTTGAGAAGAGACAGAAGTTTAGGCAAACTGATTCGATTCTGTAAAGCTCAGGATATCAATGTGCTATCTGGGAGAAAATGTTGTGATTTGCTCTGTTCTCTTCAGTGGAACTACATTGTGTCATGATAAAGATCCACTGTGCATTGGCAGAAATGCTGTCATGTTTCCTGACCTCTAGAATCTATCCATTTTATCTGTCAGACGAGAACTGTGGCTTCTATTATAGACAATGTCTGGGACTGAGATAGGATTTTCCAAACTGCCACATAAAAATAAAAGATATCAACTTATATAATTCCTAGGTCTTTGAGAGGTAAGGAGTTACTCAAGAAAAAGATTTGAATGTTTTAAAATAATTATTTCTATTGCTTTATATGTAAACATCTAGCTAAATGGATAAGCAAACAAGTGGCGTGTATCTTAAGGAAAGCTTTTGCTCTTAATGGAAATTAACAAAAGAAACACTAAATTTACATCAGTTTACATGAATTACCAATAAAATTTGTCTGAAATTAAAAATATAGTGAATTAACATTGATGCCTTGTGAAGGCTGACCTAGAAGAGAGGCTAGACAGCATTAAAGTCTTCGCTGAAGTCAATGAATTGGTATCTTATGTTGTCTCATTGGCAACAAGCTTTAATAAACAGCACCATGGTGTTTTGAATATGCTTTCAAATTTCATAACTATCTCTTACTTTGGCTTTGAATGGTAGAAATAGCACAAACTCAGATACTGAGCTTTTAAATCAGATATTAAGCTGATATCATTGTAAAATTTTCTTTAATTAAGAAAGTTATTATGAACTTCAGAAAATATTTGTTTGGAAAAGCTATAGCAGTACGAAATAACGTATGTTTGAATGAAAAATACTTCATTATATACTTCAATTGAGCTATTATTTAAGCTGGAGGATTTCTTGGAAAAGTATATCCTAAATCAGAAGCAAAATCTTTAGTTCATACCATTAAAGTAGAAAACATCAAAACTACCAAGCAACAGAGTGAATTTATTGGGTTGGAGTTTTTTGCTGCTTAAGAGAATGTTACAGTAGTTAAAGGACCAAAGAAAAAGATGTACCGATGAGGGAGGAAAGTCCTCTCAAAATCCTTCAGGGAGCAGAAAGGTATCTTTAACTGAGAAGCAAACCAGTTGTGCACTTTGCAGTTATTGTGAAGATCCATGTCTTCACAATAACAGATCCAGCAGACTTCTAGGCCAAGAGGCAACAGCCTAGAATGCTTTCTAAAATTGAATACTTTGAATATTATGCGTCTTCCCTTCATTTGGGCTATGTAGCTGTAGTGTACCAAGATTCCTAAATGGTCTGCTTTAATCCTGTGTAAGGATACTTTCTTCAATTTATGTTAACCTCTAGATGCCACTGATATTTTCCCATGTATTGGAATATACTTTTTTCATATACTGCATTCATATTTCCTTCCTTCCTTTTATTCTTGTGGGAGAATGGATTGTAGTGATGGTAGTACACGTAAAATCATTACCAGATTTTAAGAATATAAACAGGTATTTGAAAGTGGTGTATCTTGTGTATCTTTGGGGCAGGGACTGCCTCTAATTGAATGTTTATAAAGTGCCTAATATAATCAAGCCAGGAGCTGGTTGGCTGCTATGTGGTGATGTGGTGGCTGCAGACCTTTTGGGCACAGTGTTCATGTAATGATAGACTTTTCAATTATCAGAGAAGGAAGGAGATAGGTCAGCAGACCTGCAGCCTTAGACTTACAGAGGGCAGACTTTGGCCTGTTCAGGAGTACATTTGACAGATCCATCTTTGGGATCTTTCTAAGCTGGGCTAATGAAGGCCCACTTACAATTCCCAACAGAGTATAGTTTAATTAAATTTGTCCATTGGAGGACTCCTCCCCCTCCCTTTACATTTTAGAAATTAATTCTGCTTTCTGCCTGTTGTTCTTTTTGCATCGCAGATGCACTGAACCTTCGTAACCGACAGGTCCTCTGCACCACGCTGAAAGTCATCCAGCACCTGGTTGGTGGTGTCAGCTGAAGTGGTGGGGGAGGCCTTGGTGCCCTATTATCGGCAAATTCTCCCAGTCCTAAACATCTTTAAGCGCATGAATGGTGAGTTATGCTAACAGACACTGTGTCTTTCAACTCCTAAGGCAAAAAGGGGCTTGAGGCAGGGTTAATTAACAATGTAGTTAAGATTTATTACTGTATATAAACTCAAATCCATTTGGAGCTCTAAATAATGTAAACTCTCCCTCTTACTATTCCCTAAGGATGCACTGAAATTAACAATTTCATTTATTACTCCTTGCACATACAGTTTATTTAACACAGTACAGAAGCAGTGAAGCAGTTCTATAACCTTCCAATAATGAAATTGTAAACTTTGTAACAGCCTTTTGAATACATTAATAAATTGCAAAGCTTTTTTCCTCCCTCCAACACGTTAGTTTAGTCCAGCTGTTTTAGTCCACCTGGCTGCAAATGGTGAGGGAGAATTCCTGGGAAAAATGGGAATTACAAACTGGGAGAACTGGGAATTGTGAGAATTCAAACTGGGAATGGGGCTGGAGAGATCCTGGCTGCAAATGGTGAAAATTCCAGGGAAAAATGGGAATTCTGAACTGGGATAAATGGGAATTGTGAGAATTCAAACTGGGAATGGGGCTGGAGAGATCCTGGCTGCAAATGGTGAGAGGGAATTCCAGGGAAAAATAGGAATTGTGGGATGGGAAATTGGGAATTCAAGCTGGAAATGGAACTGGGATTGGGGCTGGAGAGATCCTGGCTGCAAATGGTGAGAGAGAATTCCAGGGAAAAATGGGAATTGTGAGCTGGGAGAACTGGGAAAAGTGGAAATTCTGAACTGGGAAACTGGGAACTGTGAGCTGAGAAAAGTGGGAATGGAGCTGGGAAACTGGAGTGGGAAATTGGGAAAAGAGGGAATGGACCTGGAAATGGAAATGGGAAACTGGGAATGGGACTGGGAGTGGAACTGGGGGAACTGGAACTGAGAATGGGAAACTGGGAATGGAATTGGGAATGGGAAATTGGGAATGGGAATTCAAACTGGGAAACTCGGAAAAGGAAACTAAAAAATGAACTGGGAATGGGAAACTGGGAATGGGAAATTGGGAATGGGGCTGAGACACTGGGAGTGGAACTGGGAATGGGGCTGGAGAGATCCTGGCTGCTCATGGTGAGAGAGAATTCCAGGGAAAAATGGGAATTCCCAACTGGGAAACTGGGACTGGGAAAAGTGGGAATTCAAACTGGGAAATTGGGACTGGAGCTGGGGAAACTGGGAATGGGAAGCTGGGAATGGGAATGGAAATGGGAAATTGGATTTTTGGTGGGATCAGGGTTATGGGATTTATACAGTCAGGGTTTATGGGATCATTCCCATCCCAGGTCTGTTCCACGAGGCCCTGGCCCAGCACCGTGAGGAGCTGCAGCTCCCGCAGGGCTCGGGGTTGTGGGATATCAGGGCTATGGGGTTTGTAGGATCAGGGCTATGGGAATTTTGGGAATGTTGGGAAGGGGTTTGAAGGGGATTGGGAAGGGATTTGAGGAGACTGGGATTGGAATTTTGGGGATTTGGAAGTGGATTTGGGGGATTTGGGGATTCTAGGGATGGATTTGGGGAGTTTTGGAGAGGAGTTTGGGTGGGAATTTGGGAATCCAAAATTCCGATCCCAGAATTCCCAAAATTCCATTCCCAGATCCCAAAATTCCAATCCCAAATTCCCAGCCCCATCCCCAGCCCCTCTCCCTGCCCTGGCGTCTCTCGGACCCCTCAGAGCAGCAAATTCCTCTCAATTTCTCCCAATTTTAACAATTTTTTCCATTTTTTTCTCACTTTTTCCTATTTTTACCAATTTTTCCCTTTTTTCACCATTTTCTCGCCATTGTCCCAGCTCCATCTCCAGCCCCTCTCCCTGCTCTGGCGTCTCTCGGACCCCTCAGAGCAGCAAATTGCTCACAATTTCTCACAATTTTAACCAAATTTCTCCCTTTTTTTTTTTGGTTTTTCCCCCAATTTTCTCCCAAAATTCCCAATTTTCCCCATCTTTAACCAATTTCCCTGTTTTTTCCCCCATCACCAGCTGCAGTACCTGTCCCTGGCCCGCTCCCTCAGTTACCCTGTGGAGCAGGAAATTGCTCAAATTTCTCCCAATTTCTCCAAATTACCCTAAAATAGCAAAAAAATGCACTAAAATGGGGCTAAAATGGCAAACAATGGCACTGAATGGGACCAAAATCTTATCTTCATCTTTCTAGTGATAAGACACTTTCAGCCTTCTTTTTATAAGTGTCGAGGATGCTGGTCAGGTTTGACAATAGACCTTCAGGCATGAATTCTTCATCGTCTCTTTCTATTCTTGCATTCTGTTCTTCAAGGTATTTCTAGAAAAGAGGTGCAGAGAGCTTTATTAGCTCTGTCATGGCCTGTATTTTACTGATTCTGCTAAAGCATTTTGAGCAGTCATTGCACAGGTTAACTGATTTCAGTTAAACACCTTCCTGAAAGACGCCTCTCAGAAGCAGGTTTAACCTGACAGGATGTTACTGCTGACACTTAACAACCAATTCTGATTATTTACACCAAAGGTTTTGTCAGAAAATTTAACTAGAATCCGCAGGCTTAGTAGCAGCTAAATAACTGATACTTCCTTAGAAAGAGTAAGCTCTAATTTCCAAGTGTTTAACTGCAAAATGTCTCTAGAGAGATTTAATTCTGAATATCAAATTTTAGCTTACCACTATAGATTCTATATGAGTAGCAACTGTTTCTACAAGACGACTCAAGTTAGCATCAATTTTTCTGTTCTCTTCTGTTGTTCTTTGCAAAACGACTTGATATCTAAAAGGTAAAGATACTCAGAAGGTCATGTCCATAATTGGAGAATTCCTGACATTTACAACAATCACTTCAAGTCTGATTTATCATCACGTTTAGCCATACTTTTTTTTCCATTAGTATTAATTTGAACCGAGTTACAATACATTAATGCTCAACTTAAAGAAAAACCCTTACGCGGAAAACAGGAGTTCTGATACAGCAGACAAACATTTTAGCAAAATACTGTTGAGGAGAAACATCTTTCAGTTCTTAACTTGTGAAATTAACACACTGAGATGGATACCTGATGAAACAACTGTATGTTACATTCCAGAAAATATCTTTATCCTTAAAAACCAAAATAAACAAGGCAGACATGGAAGTTAGGAGCCTTACTCTCTTTCGATATCATGCAATTCAGCTGTAGCTTCACTGAGCCCATCATAGACACCACTCTCAAGTAACTGTTTATGCTTCTTAAACAATTCCCATTCATTTGCACATTTCTTGTCTTCTTCTTCTATCTCCTGTTGTCATAAGGAAGGAGAAGAAAAAAAAACGGCCTCTCTCAAGTATAATTCGGATCTTTTTTTCTTTCTGTTACCTGATTATATCCTAATACTTGAATTCAAAATTCACGCAAATAGTTCCAAGTTCAGAACTGAAAAAAGCCCCAAGGATATCCCTCCCAAACCTAAAGTTTCTGTATCATCCCCATCCCAGAATAAGCCTAACCATCTCTTTATTCCTTTAACCACATTTAAAGGCCTGTGTTGCAGCTACTTTCCCTTCCGAGTTAAAGCTCACAAAGTGTTGTTTACATAGTCTAAATAGCTTAGAAATGGCACATTATGAACAACTGTTTCTAGGTTAAAAAATACAACCACATCTGAGTAAGAAAATAGCTTTTCTTTTTTGTCTGAAAGAGAGTATAATTCCAAATAATCATCTCTTCTAGGAGAATGACACTGTTGATGCTATACAGTCCACAAAACCAAACAAAATTCTGACGTCAACTCAACGTGCAATTTTGGTAGATTACTGAAACATCATCCTTCAAAAATAATTCTAATACTTAAGACTTACAAACAGCATTTTAAATATTAGAAGAGGAATTAAATGACTAAGCGTCTGGTGGCAAGTGTGTATTTTATGAGCTTAACTTTGGAGAAAAGTATATGCAAGAGCACAGATCAAAAGCTAAATGTCATGTGGTTTTGAAAAATAGAAACTAAATTAATTGCCTTTATAAACCTATATATACACCTGCCTCAGCAGGTATTAGCAGTGAAATAGCCCTGTTTCATGGCTATAGCACAGGAGTTTGGATTTACAGGAGCACATATGGTAAATATTGGTGTAGTTCAAAGAACATTTTTCTGCAGGGCACCACGGCCCCGCTAAAGCAGTGTTGTCAGAGAAGTTGGGAGCTACCAAAATAGCCACTCAGTTGTTAACAGAGAGGGTTATGTTTTGTTGCTGAACTGCAAGTGGGGAAAAGAATAGGGACTGCTCCTGTGCTGGCAAAGGAAGCTAAAGGAAGTAACAGTTTGAGATCATTAAAACAATTTAACATGCTTTTGGTCAATGTTTTCCTTCGTTTTTACAGAAGCTGATTAAACATGTTAACTAAAAACTGTAAAAATGTATTTATTATATACAAATCGATTAGACAAGACAGGTTCTGTTGATCCTAAAATTTCCTTCAAGCACATGCCCAGAGACATCCTGAGGTCAGATGATTGTTGCTGCTTTTATTACTGGATGCAGGAATTTATGATTTACAGGATCTGCTACAGTAGGATGCCAGATTCTCTTACAAGAAAGTGAAAATTGATTCAGTTAAGGTGGCAGTCAAATCACTTTTCTGAAAAGAATGAAAAAATCCTCTAAGAGGGAAGGAAGAAGGCAAAGGCAGAAGCTCAAACAAAAATGCAACCCAAAAATTTATCGATAAATACAAAAATTAAGGATAAGGCTATCATTAAGGATAAGTTGTCATCAAGGTGTAAGAAGTTCTACCTTAAGCTTCTGCTGGTAAAGATCATCCAGCTCTTCAGCTTCTGCTGTCAGCATTTTCACACTGCGTTTCTTGTCCTCTAGCATTACATTCACCTAGGATGAAAACATAACCAAGGAAGTATGGTTCAAAAAGAATTCCAACATATAAATCCATGCCATCACAAACCACACCTGGTTAAACAGGTTAAACCATTAAACTACGCTAGGCTGGGATGGCATTATCTTTCTTCATAGCAGCCTATGTTATGCTTTGTTTTGGATGAGGGGCTAAAACAGTGTTGGTAACACACCAAGTTTTGGCTACTGCTGAATAGCGCTAGCACAGCAGTCCAAGGCTTTCTGTGCTTCCCAGGGCCCCTCACTGAGCAGGGCAGGGACAGGCAGGAGACTGGGAAGGTGCATAGCGAGGCCAGCTGGCCAAGAGGACATTCCATACCGCAGAACACCATGCTCAGGTAGACGAACGAGGAAATAAAATTCTCCTTCTTTCAATCTGTCCCAAATCCAATAGTACTAAAAATCTTCCCGATGACAATTTGTCGGTGATGGTAAGCCACACAATCAACTGGAATGGGCAACTTATTAGAAACAAATACTTCCAATGGTTATGGTCAAGTATATGTAAGCTACATAAACTTTAATTCAGGGAATACACGATATTTCAACCAACAAAGATCTCAGTTCTTAGAAAAACTTTTAGGTTCCATTACAATAAAAGTAGTTTTCTCACAGTTTCTCCCCCTCTACTTGTCCTCAGAAAAACCCCAAGTAATTCAAGAAACCAACCCAACACATCACACTTTAACTATGCAAAAAGTTGAATGAAAGAGGCAGATAAGGTTTTAGGGTTGGTATCTTAGTGTTAATCTTCTTTAACTAACTCACCTGTTCCAAAGTGTCTTCCAGAGTAAATTTCCGTTGAGTGGCTTTACTAATTTCTTCCTCAGTCTCGTTGATGATCTCCATGAGGGGAGCCTGTAATACGTATACAAGAAGATTGAACAAATGCAATTTGCTAATCTGAACCAAGATGCACCCCAGTACATCTTTCCCTTTTATTTTTTTTAGGCTACTGTATTCTCCAATACCAAATCTCTTTCATATACTGCAATGTCATTATGGTGACTCATCACACAAGCTTTTCAATGACATTTCATTGTGAGATTGAGAGACCTTCCCAGCATTCCCAAAGAAACACATTTTTTTTTGTGAGTGCTATCTAAAGCCTTCAGTGTTGATTCTACTTACCATGATCTGAGTTTTGTATTTGAGTAGGAAATTTGGTCCTAAATCAGGATTAAACTGAATGGTAAAGTCGTGGCCTTTGGAATTCTCAGCACTTACTGGAATTAATTTCAGCTTTCGAGCCAGTTTATGATACTCTGCCAGTTGCTTTTCAATCTGCTCAGAGGAGAAAAGGGCACAAATCATAGAAGAGATACAAGTGAAAAGATGTGCAAGAAGTATTCATATAGTACTTTAAACAAGTTCCTGAGTTGCTCTCTGTAGCCATAATTCCTTGCTACCCCACAGTATTCAAGAGCTGCATGCAATGCCAGCACAGCAGTTTGCTGCATTAGGTACTGTTTTATGGTTCGTTCAGAGTTTGCACACTGAGGTTTCTTAGTGTCTGTGGCTGAGAACACTGAATGGTTTCACCTGAGGTTTTCCGTATTGATCTGCCATAATTTTTCCTGCCTCAAGTTTTTGAGAATTAGCTGATTGGGAACTAAAAATGTGCTGGAAAATAATACTAAACAAATGATCAGTTATAAGGTCAATATGCCTTCTCTCATTAGTTTTGACAGGAAATGCTACACAGCCACACATCCTAACAACAAACTAACTTGAGCATGCCTTTAAACAAAGCTTATTAAATGCTTTAATTTCTAATTAATGAGTGCTATTAAATGCAAACATTAAAGACCCCAGGGTTTTTTTTTATATGCTTCATACTTGCACCTGAGGATTTAAGTTGATAAAAGTGCTTGATAAAGGGTGACCCTACCAAACATATTTGAAATTTTTTCTTTAGTTCTCCAATTGGCAAAGCAGAAGCTTTTAAATCCCATCACTTCCAGGACTATATCTTTTCACTCTGTTTGAAGGGATTGAACTTGGCCCTTGAAATATGTTACAACTGCTACACAAAGAACTAATCAGGCCCTAAATGCATGCAAAACTATTGATTCAAATTCACTAGTTTTGCCTTACTTCCTTGCTCTGAAATATTAACATTAGCCTGTAATTTCTTGTGTTATCAAAGCAATGGCATGCTAATGTTATCAAAGCTCTAAATGCTACAGCAGTGACAGCTTACCATGCTTCATATTCTAGACACATCTCTTACGATGCAGGAAAAAAGTACATTTCCACTCAGTGCAAAACAGAAAAAGGGAAAAAAGCGCAACATTTTTCAGAGATACTGTAAACAGAGGCCATTCTTGTCAGTTTTGCCTGGTTAGATACACGTATGGTGGTGTTCGATTATTTAGGAAAGAAATTATCAAGAATCCAATTTTAAGCTTGCATGATGAAAACTGGCAGCCACCTCTGAGTGTTGTGGGGTTTTCACATACCGTGTCTCTCTTCCTAGCATATTTCATCTCTTCATTCCACATCAGTTCTCGTTCTTCTTGCAGCTCCTTATTCAGCTTGTTAATGGTTCGCTGCAGCTCATTTCTCTCGTGATTTATTCTCTCAATGTCTGCAGCTGAGTACTTCTGGTTATCTAAGATGTGCCGGAGCCGGGCATTCTCCCGCTTCGTGGCTTCTACTTCTGCCTCTAAGTACATAAAACATTTGTGAAATGGACATAAAATACCAGCCTATATACATAAACCTCACCTCTGTATTGTATGAGTAAATGACACAGTTATTACATAACATTACCATTTCATTACTCCAGTGTACAGACAGCTATCAGACAAAAAAAAATTTTTATTAGCAATCCATTCTGGAAAGTTGATTTGTAGCATCATGCTACTCCAGGTACCTTGCTCTGCTCTCAAGCTAAGAACTACAATTATTTGAAGATTATTTCTAGCTTCACTGTCCTGACTGTGATCAAGTCCTCCTTACCTGCTGCCTCAACTTCATCATTAACACTTTCCAGTTTTTGATCAAGGATGGATATATGAGATTTCATTTTAGCGAAATAAGCCTGGTATTTCTGGACGTCTGCTTCAAGGGACGATTTCACATTTCGTAGCGTTGCTATACGATCCTAGGAAATGGGTGAAAAGAACAACCACTCTTAGATAAATATAAAATAATGACTTCAATTTCCAGATAAGACAGTAGAGTAATTGATCAACATCAACAGCACAAATATAGAATAAAGAACTTTAATAATTTTTTATCTCTGTGACAGCGAAGTCCAGTCAGGACACCTTTAAAATAAAAGCAAAGAAGGCTGAAAAGATTCTTGCATTTCAGCATTATGTCTCTCATTTGCATCAGACAGTGCTTTAGACAATTCTTACTACAGGTAGTCCACAACTTAACTCTAATAATACATGGAGGGCAGATGAAACAGGGGCATGGAAAACCAGGAATAAACTCAGCACATTTTGCACAGTTGCCAGGAATTTCAATTTGCCACCTGCACAGCCACTAACCCATTTTTAAACTCAGGATGTATTAAAAGCAGAATCCAGCTTTTCAAGCAAAGTATTTTCCATAAAATATATTTGTTACCACTGAATCCCATGCCTCATATTTGAATACCAACACACTTGAAAAAAATAATGTTGAAATTTATATTAAAAAATTTGGTTCAAGTATTTTATTGATATTTCAGTCAATATAAGACCTTATTACCTGTAAATACCTGCACATTATCAAACAAATAGGTACTGAAGATTCCACAGAAAAAAGCCTTGTTCTCTAATAGTATAGAGTCTGTAAAAATCTGGCCTAATTAAAATCTCAAAGCACTGAAATTTTTCCATTTGTTATGTATCATAAGTATCTTCATTCAGAAATGGTCGATATTATAAAATTCAACTCCACCATAAAAACAGACACAATTTACTAACCTGCTCACTTTCCTTTTCTTTTTCTAGTCTTGCAATCTCTTCTTGAAGTCTTTTGTTCTCAGCTTCTAAACTTTCCATCTGGGATGGATCTACATTAAATAAATCCTCTGTGGGAGAGCAGAAGAGAGACTCGAGTTACAAATTTATCTCAATATCACCACCTCTTTTGAGTACCTGAACTTGAGCTTCAGCACAGTAAATACCCATTATCTAGATAATTATTTTTCACTAAAAAATAACTAAGAACAACCAAGAAACTTACCAGAAAAACCTTTCATTAAAATGTAACCAGGCAAAAACCCCAGAAGAAACAAGAAGAGAAATGGGTTTCTCGGTCCTCATGTCAGAAAGAGTGCTCATGCCAAAGTCACTCCCAAGAGGTAAGGGTTTCCAAACTCTCATGCAGCCCACACCTCAGGAGAGTGTACAAGTCAGGACTACCTTGTGAAGCTAGAACAAATCAAACTTACTTAACAACCTCTTTCTTATCCATATACTGCCTTGCTTCTTGAGGCATCTTTTCCCCAACTTAATTTGGCTTTGCCAAAAAGTGGGATGATTATTTTTTCCCAATATCCAGTAACAGTGTGGTATCTTGTTTCCTCTCCAATTGATGGCCCCAGTTTGCAAACAAAGGGCCCTTAGTCTGGCTTTTCATAGGAGAGCAAAGAAAGTAAGACATGTTTTTCTTCCTTTTCTCACATTGTGTTTGTAGTTCTGCAGGTGGTGAAATGAGCGAGTCAAAAAAACCCAATAATTTTCTACCTCCCTGAAGACAAACACAGGTGCATGCTGAATCACATACTGAACCCTCACAATAGAGTTTGGAACTCTTGCAGACTGCTTTCAGATCTTCAAAAGCTGAACTGTCTTGTCAGCTGTGCATCCTCTGAAAATATTTTTCTTTTTTTTAATTGTTAGCTTTTCCAGACAGAAACAAGAGCCATCTGCATAGATGGAGTTCACATCTGAAGAATTGTATACTGGTTTTCTGTGACAAAGACATTAAAAAATCAGGTGACACAGCTACAGCTGATAGCAGATCATGACCTATCCATCTGTACTGCTCAAAATACACTTAAAAAAGAGAGCATTAAGTTGAAGTAACTGAAACATACTTAGGTGTTTCAGACTCCCTTAGATCACTTTCACTCATAAACTGAACAAACTGATGCTAGGAGAAAGGAAACCAGTAACACAATTGAATACTTAGAATTTAAAAACTTACTTAATTTTGACTGCACTTCAGCATCCAACTCTTCAAAGGTATCTCTCCCTTTCATGGAAAGATCATAGCACTTCACACAGTAGTCCATGAAAAGCTGAAAACAATTTAAAAATCTTTCATTTCAACAATTCCAAGACCTGTAAAATATCTAGATAGTCTAAAGCTACTCAATCAGTGGAATTAAACAGACATCAAAAATATCCTTAATGCTTCGATTGTACTTTTGTAAAATTAATTTTTTTTCCTCCCTTTGAACATAGAATGTGAACAGATTATATATTCAGGCAGAAGGAGACAACTATAATTCACACTAAGAAAGGTCTGGAAATCCTGTATTTCTTAAAAAGATATTTAACAAATATTGTAGATAGAATATTTAAGAATTTTTCATCTTGATGCATATGATTCTCTCAGGCTAGTTTATGGAAACTGCAGGTCTGTTTAACAGACCTTTTCTATAAATATGACCATTAAAATTCAGATCTGCAGGTCTCAAAGTACTCTTATCTAGAATTAAAGAAAGGTTACCCAAAAAGAATTTGCTGGACACTAAGTCGCAGATGCTTCAGAAGCCATTACACCAGTATTGTGAATTTTGTATCTATATATATATGCAGAAGTGCCAATGTAGAAGAACGTATTTCGTTTAAAAGCATTGTTAGTTGCCAACCATCATGTTGTAACCTTAGTCCAAAATTATGATTTTACTTTATTTTTGCAATTTCTAATTAAATGTTTTAGCTTATAATGCAACCCTCTCCAAACACCTGCTGTGATTTAACACTGAGTTAAATCTGAGTAGTTCTAATAATCCATGATAAATTAAAAAGAAAGCAAGCTGTTGGATTAAGAGCTCAAATTATACTGCCACCCTATTTTGTGGCTCAGAAATAAAACTTTACAACCAATTTTTACATAGTAAACTGAGTAGATATTGGCACAAGTCACTATATTTAGAATTAAGTCACTGTCTTTATACTGCACTGCAGTTAACCTCAGAAGTCTTGAGTGCTAAAGGAAAATATTTCGGAAACTCTAAAAAAATAAACAGCATAATGATGCCCTTTCTCTACAAAGGACAACAGTATATACTTGTAGAATAAGGTGAATATAAAATAAAGAGAATATTTTGTTTAATACCCAGTCTACACCAATAGACTGATCATCATACCTGCTCGGGAAATAGTTGATCAGGTTTTTTACACAATGCTACTCTACCTCCTAGAAAGCATTGTGAATATAAAAGGGAACAGATTCCATAAATACATGACCCAGCAATCTAAACTGTAATTAAATTGTGTTGTTACAGCACGTGGCAAAATCCAGTTAAGCAATTCTGATACTAATTTCCTTTTTATGGTACCTTTTTATGTACAATTCCATCATCTGTCTCTCCTCCCCAGCTCTGTGTGTCATCGAACGACGGTGCATTTTCCCTGATCGCATTGTACAGCTGAAAAGCAGAGGTGCACACAACAAAGAGCAAACATGAAGACGTCCATTAGTTTCCATGCTGGTTTTCGTGAAAAGAAGCAGAGTAACACTGGATTAGGATTTCAGCAAGCAGGTTGGAATGAACCTGTGTTGAGCTGACTAAACACACAGGTAAAGAGGCATGAACTAGACAGTCAACACTGCCAAATTCTCTCGTGTCTTTTGAGCAGAAAAGGACAGGGTTTTCCTGGGCACTCAATTCAGCAGTGGTCAACTTCTGCCACAGATGCCAAATTTTGCTCAGTCCTGAGTTGGCAGCAACAACTGTTAGGACTACTAAAAAACCCAAACAAACCAAACAAAACCAAAATTAAATAAAAAACACCCCACTCAAACCGAAAACTTGCCACTCTGTATCAGAATCACAGAACATTTGAATCATTTCAATTGAAAATTCCATCCTTAGATTTCAAATTTAGGAGAGAATGGCAGATGTCACAACATTTGCGCTGGAGATACACGTTCCATTCAGTGATTATACTCATTAACTTCTCACATTTATTGTATGTACAGATCAGCATTTTGCCACCTCCTTTTATACATTAATTTATCCAGTGCATACATGTAAAGAAAAAACCCTATCATAATATAACATGAAAAGCTCACTTTAAAAGTTACCAAAACATTAGGCCAAGGGTCAGCTCCCAGATGACAGCTAAGAACATATATGTTTACATATATGTTAAACAAAGATTTGTAGAAAATATGTACTGAATCTGTATTGAAACTAACATTCCAGCCTGGAAAGTGAAAATATTTATCTTAAGACAAACATTACCTTGACACAATCAATTAACCAAATCAAAGCTGCCACAATCTGAGGCCAGGTTCGTGGTGCTCCCACAGCGTACATGGAGTTTTTTGACAGAGCAAAGGGGTACCTGTACGGCCAAAGAAGATACACTTTTAATAGCTGTGGCAGGCAGTGATGAAAACAAACCAGCACATTTTGAAAACAAAGCAGCATGTTTTTCTATGTAGATGAAAGCACAGAAGGAAGAGCAAACTCAATTCTACTGTACTTCAAAGGAAATTAGTTGAGTTCTTACAGTACGATTCTATTCAATTATCATGGGTTTCTCATTTTGCAACTCATAGAATAACATGGCCTGAAAGGGACCTGTAAGGATCTACAAATCCAACTCCCTGCTCCTCATAGGACTGCCTACAACTAAACCATATGATCCAGAGTGTCATCCAGATGCTCCTTGAGCTCCCAAAACTTCAAGTGACTTGTCAGAATTAGTCATTTTATCCAGAATTACACCCTTGGTGCAGCAGAGTGGAATCCTTTTCAACATTTTAAGCTATATCAGCAGTTTCAAATGTTATAGATTAAAACAAAACTTTATTAAAATGCTGAGAAGTGTGCAAAAAAGATTTGCACCTACATTTAAGGAGCCCTGGCACTCTGACACCATCATGGGTATACAGTCCCTGTTTTTTTTTTTAAATGAGACTGAAAATTCACTGTTATCAAGAGGCAGAGGATTTTCTTTCCAAGACAATGTTGGGGCATTAATGATTTCAAACACTGAACAAATTCAGCAGTAAACCACTCAGCTACTTAGTGTTTTTCTCCCCTCAACAGTAATTTTGTTATTTCCACATTCTGCTTTGAAGGCAGAATGAGAAAAATTGCAGGAAAACATATTTTAAACTAAATTAAATTTGTTTAAACTAAAATTAAATTGTCTTGATCCAAAATTCTGGAAATTTTAGTTCTTAGATTCTGACAAAATGAACAGAAAGGCCTGTAAAAGAAAATTGTGCCTTGTCCTCCAAAGTTCTATACAAATAATCAATTAAATTTTACATGACAAAGCAAGATTCCCAGAGCTTATAGTTCTGTAAATTCAAATATAAAATGTATAGCAGATGCTGAAAATCAGAGAGTAAACCTAGAGTTAAACAAAAGTGAAACAAAACAATCACAACATTGTACTTTTAGAGTCTCATCTGAATAAATAAACCTATCCATTCCCCCCAACTATCAATGCAGAATTCTTAGCTTTTAAATTTCTAGCCATAGCATATCTATTCAGCCCAGGAGACTAACAATAATCATCTTACCCAAGGGCTTTGAAAATTTTGGGAATTTCCTCTTCAAATTTTGAGTCAGGCAGTTCATAAGAAGGGCAGAGGAATTTGTAGATAAAGGTGAAGATCTTTAAAAAGTCCTTAACTGATGGAGATTGTAGTGATTTCACGGAAACATCGTGGGCATAAGCATTCTCAACAAGGAACTGTGCAAAAGAAACACGGAATACCAGTCACTAAATAAAATTTATAGTTGAAACCAAGGGAAATAACCACTTTGCCTAGCACATTTTACACCTCATAACATACATGCAGAACAAGTTCATATGTTACCTCATAAAGCTTTTGGATACATTGTTGGATGAATGTCTTGTCATGAAGGGGCCTGGGATCCTTTATCTTTTTTGTCCCAAACACACCGTACAGGCTGCTGCTTGACCCTCCAGTCCCGCTCGCGCTAGGGACAGACAATGAATACAGGTCTTGTGACAATACATAGAAAGAAGAACTCTCTTCATGTTTAAGGCACAACTGCTAGCTTTATGTTTTCTTTCCATTTGTTATACAAAGTGATACTTGAAGTTTTCTCTTTGTTTAAGGTCATTGGAAAAACATCATCAACCTGGAAGTCACAATGCCATAAGTACAACAAAGATTACTGCATCCTAGATGAATACTTTCTTCATTTTATTGAAATAAATAAACTTTTAGAGAGCAGAAAAATACCCCAAAGATGAAAAAAAATAATGTTGGTGACTGTAAATAAACTCTAAAAATATTTAAGGAATATTTAAAAGGAATAACCCCTGCAACAATGGGGTACTATCAAGAAGATACCCATAACACAAAGTCATGAGCTAAGTAGAAAGATTATAGAGTTTTGGAAAGTTAGTATCTTAGAGAGAGGAAACTAATGCAGAGTATACTTCAGATGTCTTTCTTCCTTAAACAAGAAAATGCATTGAGATACTCTTAAGGTCTGCAGTGCACATCATTCCCAAAAGAAAAAAAAAAAAAGCTCCCAAAGCAATTCCTGCTCCAGAGCATCATTGTTTAGCGACCAAGGACTGGAGGAAGGCAGACCTGAAGGTCTGCTTGCCTCAGATCCATCATTCCCTATAGTGAAAATCTGTCAAGAAAGAAAAATACCAAAATTAGAGGACCATTTTTGTTTTAATGTACAGTGCAGACAACAAAAGCTATCCATACCTGTTCCCCAAACAGCTGGCTTTTCCTTCTGAAGCTACAGATGTAGGTTTGCTCATGCTCAGCTTCTCAAAGGTGCTTCTGTCCTTCCTGAGGAGCAGAAAAAGATTCAAGTGACTACTACTACCAATTCATACAAGAGCTATAGTAAGTAGCTCTTATAGTACAAGACTGTAAATAGAATCTAAAATATTTAAGGAATATTTAAAAGGAATAGACATAGGAATAGACCCCAGCATAGACCATACATAGCTCATACAAGAGTGATACAAACAGTCATATATTCCTAAGCGCCTTCATCCCCCAACATCTTAGAAAGGTTAACTGATGCATCCAGCTATCTCCTCAGAAACAGGTAACAAAGTGTTACAATTTGAAACATGACACAAGTACACAGAAAGGAAGTATTTTTGCAAAAAAAATTATGTTGGACTCCACAAATATATAAGAGCAGCCACAGCCCTTTAAATCAACCATTTTATTGATAAAAAGTGTTACTGTTTCTTCCAAACCTACTGTTTTGCCTTTCTTTATATTTGGTCATTTCAGACCTACGGGTCCCAAAAGCAAAAGAGCTTGAGAAATTTTTCATTTCAGTCCACTGGGAAAAAGGCCACACTACCACGAGTACACAAATACTGCTTACAGCACGTCTGCTGTACATCAGCTCCTGAGCTTCTTGTTCTGAGCCCGCCCATTCCTCTGCAACTTCCTCATTTGTAACTAATACATATCCCTTATTGGGAAAAAAAAAATTATATTTGGATACCAATTGCTAGTTAAAGATGGGACAGTGTGCTGGGAAAAGTGCCAGCATGAAGAGAAAAGGGAAGGATGTTTTTAAGAAAATACCTCCTAGTAGTCCTTTAGGTGAACTTTTAATAAATTGGGATACTAATGAGGGAATGAAGTATCTAGATAAGAGAAAAATGATAAGATACTGTACAGAAATATGGCCTAAAGAGAGTATTGCTGAAGGACCTATTTATTGGCCCTGGTACGGGACAAAAGAAAGATGGCTATGTATAGCATTAATTAGATATGTCAATACCAGAATAGAACCTTGTGACGAAGAGATTAGATATGCTAAATGTTGGTTAGAAAGGGACAAACAGGAAGAGGAAATAAAATTATATAAAATATCCAGAGAAAAAGAAAAAGAAGAAACTGGGCTACCAGAACGAAGACCATCTTAGACCATCTTCCTCCGCCTCCCCCTCCTGATCCCTTAGATGACCTCCTGTTACCTCCTCAACCGACTCCTCCTATAGACCACCTTCCTCCTCCCCCTCCAACCTTGTACCCCTCAGTACCATCTCACGAGGTGGATGAAATTTCAGTATCTGCTTCCACAGGAGTTTTAAAATCACCTCAACCTTCTAATTCAAGTTGTCCTGCTCCCAGCATCCCCTCTTCTGTATCATCTCCTTTCCCAAATATACCAGAACCTGCCCATTCTAGTACTCCTTCAGTTTTGCAGAGTCCCTCTGGTTCCTCAAGTACCCAGACACTGGTCTCTAGTACCACTCAGAGTGTCCATACCCCAATCTTGGCTCCCAAAACTTTCCAAAATACTCCTTTTTATTTTTCCTCCATATTTCAGCCCATAACCCAAAGTACCTCTTCCCCTATTCTTATTCCTGGAACATCACAAAACACTCCTTTTTATTTATCCCCTGTACCCCAACATACTGAGAGTCACAAGCAGGAGGAAAGTTTGCAAACAAAAGGTCAGGGAGTGAAAAAGGCCTGTTGTTGTAAAGATATAGAGGAAAAGAAATTAATTGATCCAGATGAGCTTGTAGCAAGCCATCAGTATAATACAAGATTCCAAGCAAAGAAAATTCAAGGTGAATGTGGGAGAACTGAAAAGTTGTTTCCTCTGAGAGAAGTGCCTATGGGGGGGGCAGAGGTGGTATTGGTTTTGTGAATGCCCCATTAACCGCCTCTGAAGTTAGAAATTTTAAGAAAGAAATTAAGACCTTATTAGAAGACCCAATAGGCATCTCCCAACAATTAGACCAATTTTTAGGGCCTAACATCTTTACGTGGGAGGAATTAAATTCTATCCTAGAAATACTGTTCTCTTCTGAAGAAATACAAATGATTCGTACTGCGGGTATGAGGATTTGGGAAAGAGAAAATAGAGGAGGTCCTAGAGGAGAAGATAAAATGCCTGTTAACCCACCTAATTGGGATCCAAACCAGGAAGAGGGAAGAGCGAGCATGAGACAATATAGGACACTAATTGTAAGAGGGATAAGAGAGGCAGTCCCAAGAACAAATAATGCAAGATTGGCATTTGATAGTCACCAGGTGTTGCAGTCGAGGCGGTCACGACATTAAAGCAGAGACCACAAGCACACTCAGTCTCAGTCTCGGTTGTCTCTAAATTATTAATCAAAATGGACTTTCACTTGAACTGTTTAGAAAATTAAAACATACAGACCTTACTCAGTGTCGTCTGTGGGGTGATCTCCGGTTAGCACCGTTTGCAACCGTTAGCAACCGTTGGCAACAGTTGGCAACACTTTATTAGTGAAAATGGCTGATACACTTTCCAGTCGTTTCCCCTCCAGTCGCAGAAGGCTCCCATCTTTCCTTCCTTGGTCTCCTTGGTTCAGCTTCTTCTTCTTGCTTCTCGCTCCTTTAGCCAACAGGCCCGCTGCTAGCCCCTTCCACAATTCCCCCTTTTTTTTTTGTTTTTGAACTGTAAATACAGCTGCTATGGATTTTTGCAGGCCCCTTTGCAAAAACCCAAGCAGAGAGGGGACACACAAAATCACAATCACAACCATCAACAGAATTCCCACTCTCAATGCAATCGTTCCTGTCCTTCATCCATCTTTAATTACTGATATATGGTCTTAGCCAGTGTCATCCGCACATTCTGCCTCAGCTGCGGAACCATCGATCCTGTCCTTTCCCGCACGGTCTAAGTAAGGTTTGACATAGCGAGCAGGAACCCATCGAGGACCATTATCTGTCAAAACACAAGCATAGGTTGTCAGGTTATCAGGTTATCAGGTTATCAATTCTACTGGACCAGACCATATACCAGTAATCAAATCCTTGACTCACACCTTGACATTTCCATAACTTCACTAATATGGTAAACAATGGTTTCTCTTGAATATTATTGAAAACTGGAAAAGCCATAGGGTTATCACAAGCAACATTTGCATTGGCACTGCTCTCCTGAGGTACTCTTGGAGCACCTAACCTTTCTATTATGTCCCAATTATTTTCTTCAACCGCTTTCCTCCTAACAAATTCCCAGAACTCCTGAGGGTGTTGAGGAAGCACAGTTACTTGACATGGAGGCAAAGTCCATGGGGCAGTAAGGCTAGAGCTCTGAGGAGATGAAGGGACCAGAGCTCCTTGCCCCAACTCAGGTGTTACTGCGGGCGACTCATCACTTGACTCGCTGTTGCTGTCACTGTCAAGTAAGGGAGGATACGGCCTTGCAGATTGTTCAAGCCGCTCAGAGGGAAGCGGGGGGGCGGATGGCTGGACCAGAGAGGAGGGAAGCGGGGGGGCGGATGGCTGGGTTTCTCTCTCCGCTAAAGACATTTCAGCTAACTGGCGTAGCAGTGTAGTATATACAGGCACCATCGCGAGCTGCTGCACAGGTGTGAGATAAGGAGGCTTAGGGGCCTGATAAGAAGAGGCTAGGGCAGGTTGTCCAGAAGTTTTGGCAGCTTTCCCAGAAGCCTTGGCAACCAGCCCAGAAGCTCTGGTAGCCTTCCCGGAAGCTTTGGCAGCCTTCCCATCAGAGCCCCCTTCTAGCTCAGAGGCTCTCAGGGCTCTGCCCAGGGCCCCAGCTGTCAGGGAACCAGGACAAGCAAAACCAGATGGGATGGATACTCCAGGGACCTGGAGAACCATTCCCAGCAACTGGGAAAATCCTAGGCGCTCCATCCACCCATAGATGTGGTCTCCAAATTTGCCCCAAAATTGGGTCCAGCTTTTAGAGGCCATAAAGAGCAAGTCCAAGTGACTGGATGACCTTTTTAGCCCAGAAAGCCCTGCAGCTGATGGCACACTTCACAATCAGCAGGGCACACAGCTAGGCCAAAGCCCAGACCTCTGCTGGGAGCCTTTCTCCTCAAACAAACCTCCATGCAAGTCACTTGGGAAAGTTTCTTCCAATGATCCATTTCTGGCACATAACTACACAGGCTTATGTGAAAGATTCTAAAGCAATTGCTCTGGAGTCAGAGGCAGCACTAAGGGTCCTTGTCATCTCTTTGTAACTAAATCCCACTCTGCAGGAGTTGAAGGAGTTTGGAACGAGCTAGAGAGCAGACCTCTGAGTTTTTTACATGATGCCATTGCATTTTCTTCACTTCTACACAGACAGGAAGGGTGAGTTTGGCTCACATCTGCACTGCATGGCTCACAAGGCTGCAAGACTTGTAGTTACAAGAGCTTTGAAGGATTTCTTGGCCAAGAAGACACGGCCAACAAGGATATTTGGGGTTTGGAGCTAACCCTTCAATATTTCATCTTATGGACTCATGCTACAGTGTAAGCTTTCTTAGTCAATCATGTTATGACACACGAACCTACAGCACTGCATCCTAAGCTTCTTGTTTTCCATTGTAACTACTTTTATTTTTTCTAGATCTTGGACTCTAAAACTCCAAACTTTCCTCCACTTCAACATTCGTCCCCTTGTCTCTGCTAGAAACTAGAAATCCTCATTCTCGTTTCTAGCACCTAAGTTTGGAAGCCCTATCCAAGGTCTCAGATCAAATCCTGTGCTTAATTCTAAGCTTTGCTGACAAGACCAAAGGTCTGAGATTTCCCTGCATTTGGGTTTCCCACAACACTGATGCTGTTAGTTCCACAGTGCCCGGGATCCCTCTTGCAAGTCAACTCTGTCAGGATCAAGGCGGCTGCCGGGGGGCTGCTTGTGGCCTCTGCCAGCCCATTGCTGAGGGCTTGCCAGCGCCCCGGCCCCTCAAGGGCTGCCCCAGCCCGGCCAAGCTGCCGGGCAGCAGCGCCGCAGCCCCACCGCAGCTCCAGAGCAGCCCCATCCAGAGGCTCTGGGAGCCCTCAGCGAGGCAGCCAGCAGCTCACGGGCA